ATGTAGATAGACATGACACACTGTATGTGTGTAATGAAGGTCAGATACACGAAGTAAACTTCATGTAGTCACACCAACCAGTGCATTCCGTCAATCATCACTATCACTGGTGTTAAATTCTCTATAACAACTCAAAATGGACTCTTCCGATTGGGGTGTGAATGATCATACAAAGGTGTATCCACAGACATTATGTCCACATCATTACACTTCACATTATGTGTTTAGCAACCTGGTTCTCTTTATTAAATCGCCTCCGTGTTCTAGTGAGTACGGTGTCGGCCGGGAAGGCGAAAAGTCCGTGGTTTGATCCCAATCTGCTCAAGAGATACCAATACTTCACTCTATTTTTAGTGGATATGATATGGTTTACTTGTTATTGAAGTGCTCACATGACTACTTCGACCGTGGATGGTCACTTGATATATTGTTTAATGACACTAATGAGTTCCCAACTCTTGAGACCATCAGTGGGTTCCCGGGTCGGGTTGGTTACCCGGGCTGTAGATTTGGACTCGTCCCAGCTCCAGTCAGTAGCATGTTAGGTACATTGTACGTGGTCCACTGAACCGTGGTCATAGAATTTATTCATTTTACTAGATAGTAGATAGGGTGTTCATGTAGGATGTTTGTGATGTCATGAAGTTTGTTTTGTGGAACGTTATGGTGAGCCACTCAATAACCAAGAGTTCCTGAATCATACTTGTACGGAGGTACACTTCTGCAATTGTGTAATCGTGTCCATATCTATAATGATTAAAATGGTGTTGTAGGCATAGTACATTTCATTATTCAAGTGTAAAAAAATGAACCGTAAGTGATTCCATGTTAGTGTTTGGCTAAAAATGAAATTATTTTTGTGCGTCAGCTCCATAATCAGATACCATAAAATAGGTTTTGTTTAATTCTGCATAAACCTACAAACATTAGGCCACGCACACCCTCGGATTTGTTTCATGACTGGTTGATAATAGAGTTGGCAGATCTTGTGTTGCACTATTGCGCTGTACAGTGTCATATTTTGAATCGTCTACTCTTTGTTTGTGTTAATGACTTAATAGACAGCCTTTGAAGTTGTTATTGCTGACTTGTAAAATGTATTTTTGTGCTTAAAGGGGTATGCACACTTTGCGTTATATACGCAGATTAACGCATGATATGCACACAATTTGTTTAGATTTATACCTCCATAAACACAATAAATATTGTTAAGTTAATTAATAAATAAATTGCCAGCGAGTCCGTTGCATTAGATTGGTTAACCTTAAATAACATTAGCCCACGCCGACTAGCGAACTACTTGCGTGACGTCGTAGGAATTCGCGGTGGCTCGCCCGTGTTATGCACAGCCCCCAGATTAAATAAAATCATTGAAATCATTGAAAGAAATCTTCAATCGATTTCTTTTACTTATTTGTACGGCACACAACATCATTGGATCGTTTTTTATAGCATATACACTCAGGAAGAGCAGAATGTATTTTTCACAAATAAAAAACATGACCCTACCATAACATTGTCTGTCATGTACTTACACCTCCATACACGCAAAACATATATAAGTCAATACTTAATCCATAACTGGATTCCACAGGAGGTACCGCTACATTAAAGTTGCGTCGCAATGTTTTGCAGGCCAGTGTGACATCATCGGTTACCATGACGTCACGCTCAACTGACATACCTTTTCCCTCTGCCACTGAAGCCGGTCAGCTGTACTTTTTACACTGGAGACACTTGATATAACTCTTTACAGCTGAAGAGGTTGGAAGAATTCTAAACAGAATCTTACCTCGTACGCTTCTGTTGTTAGCCATTAGGGCTGGGTTAAGTTGGTCCTGGGTTGGATCTGGGCACCCACAAGATTACCCGGACCCGTAGTTAGTCACGTGCCATATTGTTCAATAACAATAAAACTCCATGGCTACACCGAAATTCACTAATGTGTCATATTTCTTTCTGACACTCCACGTATTCCTTCTGACATTTTTGGGGCGGTCGGGTAGCCAAGTGGTTAAAGCGTTGGCTCGTCACGCCGAAGACCCGGGTTCGATTCCCGACATGGGTACAATGTGTGAAGCCCATTTCTGGTGTCCCCCACCGTGATATTGCTGGATATTGCTAAAAGCGGTGTAAAACCATACTCACTCACTCACTCTGACATTTTTATATCTGAGTAAAGGTAAAGCTTCAGTCAATTTCAGTGTATGCATGATCAGTTCGTATACACATGTATATCAAGAGGTTTTGCCAGGCCTCCGGTAAAACATTTCTAATCAGGCATTTTCTACCCTACTGGAATCCTACAGCAGGTTCCCTGGTCGGGTGAGGCCAGGGTGTAGGGTACCTGGGTAGGTTCAGGTAATAGGGGGTCGGGTACCTGGGTAGGGTCAGGTGATAGGGAGTCGGGTACCTGGGTAGGGTCAGGTAATAGGGAGTCGGGTACCTGGGTAGTTTCAGGTAATAGGGAGTCGGGTACCTGGGTAGGTTCAGGTAATAGGGAGTCGGGTACCTGGGTAGGTTCAGGTAATAGGGGGTCGGGTACCTCGGTAGGGTCAGGTGATAGGGAGTCGGGTACCTGGGTAGGGTCAGGTGATAGGGAGTCGGGTACCTGGATAGGGTGAGGTGATAGGGAGTCGGGTACCTGGGTAGTAAATTTGGACTCATCTCAGCCCTTGTAGTCATCTACCTGTCTGTTCAGGTTCGAATTATGTTTTGAACCTGCTTCATGTATGAGTCTGAAATATTATGAGCATATCATGATGCTAAAACCAAAGTGTTAGGTTTGAAAAAGACATCTTAATTGTTGAAAATCTTTTAGAATATTCTAACAAAGCACACGGTCAAGGAATCTGCAACAATTACATGACGTCTAGCAGCACAATTAGATTTGAGCATGCAATTATAATAACTTTTGTTCACGGTATTGTGTACTTGATCTTACGTAAGTCTCCCTACAGCACAGATCCGTCATGGAATGTATCCCAATACTGCACGTCTGGGACAGGTTCTGTCATTGTGCCGTCACACACAACTACAACAAAACAACTAAACAGGTGTTTGCATTACAAGCAAACCCACGCCAACAGGTGTTTACAAGCAAACCAACGCCAACCTTATCTTAAATGTCCCGAACCTTTTCGCCACCAGCAACAATATATCCAGAACCATTTGGACTTAACCAACTTAGGTGACAGCTGACCTGTTCATCTTTCAGCCCTAACGTTATCTTGTGCAGGACAACTTTAAAGGACAACAACACTCCAATATTGAAAGTATTGAAAAATTGGTGGCTTTTTCGCAGATTCAGAGTTTCAATATAATGGACTATAATCTTGACTTGTTTAACTTGCTTATTGGAATCTGCTGAGTAAGTGAGTTTAAATGTAACGTCGCATCAGAAAGTTGGAGTATTGTTGCCCTTTTAAAGTCAGAAAGTCAAATGCCTCTAGCTTCATTTATAACAAGGTAATGATCACTTCCATGGTCTATAACATATGTTATAAGAGTGTGTTTGAGAAAACAAATTGTGACAGTGTATTAATCCTACACAAAAGACTTATTGTGTATGTTGACGAAAACGAACTCACGATAATCAAGACGGGTTAAGGAAGTGACGACTTGTAAAACTAAGAGCCAAAATAGTTCGAATGACTTATTTACGTGTTTACTATGTTTACAAACAAATTTGAAACCTCACATTATGGTCAGCCTTCGACGGGCTTCGTCTATCAGGAAACAGGGCTTGCTGATGTTTCAGGATATATAAACACATACAATGTATTTTCTCATGCTAAAGTTAACAGTGAAAATATAAAATTGGGAACTCCTCATTCAATTTCCACTTTATGCTTGTTCCAGTCAAATTTCACGGATTGTTATTTCTCGTGAACGTGATTCGTGATGCACCGTGACTACATCATACCCGTGACTACATCATACCCATGACAACATCATAACCATGACTACATCATACCATGACTACATCATACCCATGGCAACATCATACCTGTAAATACATCATACCGGTGACTACATCATACCCATGGCTACATCATACCCATGACAACATCATAACCATGACTACAGCATACCATGACTACATCATACCCATGGCTACATCATACCTGTGAATACATCATACCGGTGACTACATCATACTTGTGAATACATCATACCCATGACTACATCATACCCATGACTACATCATACCCATACATCATACCCATGACAACATCATACCCGTGACTACATCATACCTGTGAATACATCATACCCATGACTACATCATACCCATGACTAGATCATACCCATACATCATACCCATGACAACATCATACCCGTGACTACATCATAGCTGTGAATACATCATACCCACTACTACATCATACCCGTGACTACATCATACCCGTGAATACATCATACCAATGACTACATCATACTCCTGAGTACATCATACCCATGACTACATCGTATCTGTGAATACATCATACCCATGACTACATCATACCCGTGAGTACATCACACCCGTGAAAACATCATACCCATGACTACATCATACCCACAACTGCATCATACCATGACTTCATCATGCCCACTACTACATCATAGCTGTGACTACATCATACCCATGACAACATCATACCCGTGACTACATCAAACCCATGACTACATCATACCCGTGACTACATCATACCCATGACTACATCATACTGGTGAATACGCAATACTCGTGACTACATCATACCCATGACAACATCATACCCGTGACTACATCAAACCAATGACTTCATCATACCCGTGAATACATCATACCCGTGCAGCCATATATAAGTGCAATAATCTTGGACGCGACGTTAAACACATTTCACCTCACCTAACTGTATGTTAGTTGATTCTGTAATGGGATTTGGAAAGTCCGTTATTGACAGCGATTACTTACTCAGTGATACGGGCGAGTGGACACATGCTTGAGTTGACTCGCCTGGCCGGGTACGTTAGCGTGTGTATGAAGTATACCCCCAGAGACACGACATTCAACCGAGACGGGAAGCATCAGCGCGCCTTGGGTATAGTTTGTTAATGGGAAATGCTGATAAACTGTGCCATTGATGGAGAGGGTGTGATTGCTCTAAGTAATGCTTCCAGGTTAGTTAAGTTAGTTAGTTACATGGATTATTGATACAACAGGATATTGATCATGTATAAAGACAGTGATGTGTAATTTATGTACAGTTTCATATTAACATGGCTATAGTATGGCTATTTTGTTTTAAGGATGACTGGTGATTCGGTTGGACAACGTCAACCTACTCATACTCTTCAATACCGCAAGACAATTTGCTACCCACAATGGCATATTGTTAACTTGGCATGAGCAGTGTTCTTCAAAACACGTTGTGAAAAAATGTGTCTTCATACTTTAGTATTTTGACACCATGATATTGTGATATTGTATGTTTCAGATGAGATCTCTCTTTTGGTGTTGATTTGGACTTGCTACACAGTGGGTGATGGTACGTTGGCCACTATATATCTTAACCTAACACACTGAAGCTGTAATGTGGCTAATAATTATCTTTTATATATTTTCACGGATATAATACATGTAAAAAATAATGTCCAATACACTTCCATAATTTGACTTGTCCCATATGTTCTCGTGTATTTCAAGTGAACAACTGACGTGCCTTTGCATGTGTTTGTGACGGGTGCCACCGGTAGGGGCAGGATACGCTCACCTTTTTACGAACACCTGGTGTAATCACTATTTGATAGTGATTACTAAACACATGATCATCATAAGTGGCATTGTAAATGAATCTGCTTTCAGGATAGATTTCTTATTAATATGGAAACGGTTTTGTCGCTGTAGTATAATTGATATGTACTGTGAAGTTAGTAGGTCATGAAAACATGAGGCAAGGAAGGATGTCAGAACATTTACGAAAACAATATACCGTATTCGACGTAATAAGCGCTCCGCTATAATAAGCGCCTATATTTGCTGATATATTGAATTGCTAGTGAACAATTCTAATTAGCACCCCTTCCGATTAATCAATGTTCACAAGACTTATCTATTCGTTTATAATATGCACTCGTGTGTTATATGCACCCTTAATTATGAGCAATTAAATTATTGAAAATATATATGTCGTGTATAATACGCACAGTCTTTTCTTTTGTATCATTTCATGCTGTTAGCATAAACCACGAAATTTACGATCTTTCAAGTGTTTTTTTTTCTCACGAAAATTCTATTCTAATAAGGGCCCCCTATTTTTAATTTTGAGAGCGCCCTGGGCGCTTATTACGTCGAATACGGTAAAACATCTTTCTTTCATCAGTTGCGTTGTGTGTGTCATGTGTTGGTGTCAGCATGTTTCAGTCACCTGGAGTCATGGGACTTTATTCATGTTAACGAACCAAGCCATATTGCAACTGTATCCCTGTATCTTCAGTCATCGAAGGGGCGGTTGGGTAGCCAAGTTGTTAAAGCGTTGGCTCGTCACGCCGAAGACCCGGGTTCGATTCCCGACATGGGTACAATGTGTGAAGCCCATTTCTGGTGTCCCCCCGCCGTGATATTGCTGGAATATTGCTAAAAGCGGCGTAAAACCAAACTCACTCATTTAGTCATCGAATCTGGATGGGACAGAGTTGATAGAACTGGTTCTGTATGTTATGGTGAGCGAATGGCACTCATCTCTACAGACATTGTAACCTCCCATGCCATGATGTAGAACATGGTCTCCATGGTGATTCCGGGGTAGAAATGGTTCTCAGGATACTTCGATTTTCGTACGAATCGACATGGATCGAAACCTGTCGTTCATCAGGGCTTATGCTTTAAATTCAAGGTTTGTTTGGTCCAGACTTGAATATTAACAGTCTGCCATGACCGTCACCTGAGAAACGTGGTCCGACCGACGGACCGACCCACCCACCCTTCCACCGAGCCACCCACCGAGCCACCCACCGACCCTTCCACCGTCCAACCCACCTTCCCATCCACCGACGGAGAGGTTGGAGTGAGCTATGTTTACATTTTCACTGTGCAGGGCAAGTCGTCAGCTATGAGGTGGATGAGAGCCACGCCACCCTGCCAGTCTTGACTTGGTGGGAGTCGATAGGCAAATATCCTGATTATGTCATCTCCTGTGAGACGCAACAGAGATGTCTCCTGTCCAGAAACAAGACACGACTGCAGCATCAAGAAGTCATGGTGAGTAACCATGACAACATATACACGGTAAATGTTTGCGATAGTTTTGAATGAGACGGCTACTGAGTGACGCTTCCATTGCAATTTACCTGCTCTATGTGTTACTGAAATTGTGTCACCGTCACATTAAGCTTTACCAGTACAAACGGTCGATCATGTCAACTATGTGTGTAGGCATGTTTGCGAAAGAAACTACCCAAAAGTATCTACCTACATGAAGCGTCATGATTTCAGTGTTCTTACAACCGACCATTATCGCGATATATTATGTAGGTTATAGGGGATTAGCCTGACATGAACTTTAGAGAGAAGTCTCGCTTCAGTAAGTTTGCTGATGCCTGTCGCAGAGTTTTATTTCATTCGTTTTCACCGCAACATTAAAAACTTCGTCACAACAGCCTCTTCTTTCAAAGCGAAAAACGCACGACAACTTTGGCGTCAAATGGCTACACTGCGCACACTCGTCCGTGACGCCTTCAGAACATAGACAGTCAGAAGTTGTACCTTTTGTCAGAGGGACTATCAATCTTCCATTTATATTTTCAGATGTACGTATTTTACGGCTCATTCTTTCTGTCGAGTGGTCTTCCTTTTCCAAGGAAGGATGGCGATATTTGGGCATTGATCCACGAAGAGTCGCCCATGAACAAAGATTGGCTGTTTTCATTCAGGAGCACTATAGAGCTGTTCAACTACACATCGACTTTCAAGAGGGGATCTGACTACCCGCTCACCACCCACTGGCTGACAAACAAAGAGACACTGCTCAGTAAAGAATATTTAGTCCCCACAGACAGAAAGAATGTGATGAGGACAGATGATGGCCTAGCTCCAATTATATTTGTCCACAGCGACTGCAACACACCATCCAACAGGGAGCAGTTCGTCACGACGTTGCAGAAATACGTCGATGTAGATTCCTACGGCCCTTGTCTCCTCAACAAGGACTTCCCAGAAGAGTGAGTTCACCTGGACCATATGCAGTCAAACATACACACACAGACACACATACAGACATACACGAGTTCAGACACACACACGTACAGACACACACACAGACATACACGAATACAGACACACATACAGACACAAACAGAGACATACAGACAGACATACACGAATACAGACACACACATACAGACACACACACAGACATACAGACAGACATACACGAATACAGACACACACACATGCAGACACACACATACAGACACACACACAGACATACAGAGAGACATACACGAATACAGACACACACACAGACATATAGACAGTCATACACAAATACAGACACACACATACACACTGATACAGTCACACATACAGACACACACATTCACATTCATACACATACACACATAAAGACACACACATACAGGCATACACGCATAAGGACACACACATATACATGCAGACATGCACACATACACAGGGAATATGCACTTTCGACGAATATTATCAACCCAACACACATACACACACACAAACACACACATACACACACACACACACACACACACACACACACATACACACACATACACACAGAAACGCGCACACACATACACACAAACACACACACAAACACACACGCACACACACACACACATCTTGTATCCCGAGCCTGTTTTCACTTAGTCATATATGTTATGATATTTTGGAGGCAAATGGAACCCGTTGTTTAGGCCATGTCATACATGTAACTGGGCTCGTTATCATTTTAACACAATGTTAATTTGTTATCATAATATATAGCATGGTCAGTACAGCTCATAATCTTTTACCACATTTCCGACCTACATGCACTCAATATTATCAATATGGAGACTGGGCAAGTCTATCTATTTTGTTAAGATGCACGCAGTGTAGAATGAAGAGCACAGCACTTTGCAACTATTAAACTGTAACCAATCTCTTTCTGTTGCATATAGATTCAAAAATCTCGACGGTATAGCAGGCTTCTTGAAGCCAGACTTTTTGAAACTTGTCGCCCGCTACAAGTTTGCTATAGCTTTTGAGAACGCCATCTGTGACGACTACATCACAGAGAAGTTGTGGCGCCCTCTACAGGAGGGAACTGTCCTTATTGTGCTCGGCTCGCCGACAATCAGGGTGAGATGACTTCTGTGTGTGGACACATTTCGGTGAGAGTAAATGTTCTTATGCTTGGACAACGAGACGAAAACTCGCGGTGAGATGGGCGACATGTCTTGTTTGTGTGGTGGCATTTTCGTGAGGGTATATAAGTAATTATATATTTTCTTAGGCTGTACCCAAGACACACAAAGTCGTAAGTCGTAGATGTAAAGGCATAATCATAATTACATGTTCTAAACAACTTCAATACAATAAACGACTACGATAGAGCAGAGGGTAAGCTTTGGTCTTCAATATAGTTATCGTCTCGTGTAACGGATGAATGAAAACGTTTTGCATTAAGCTACTCAACTGATGGTCGTTACTCCAGGCTAACGGAGTAGCTGGTCATCCATGCACAGGTGGAGGGTTCACTCAAGAAATATTGTCGCTGAACCATTGTTATCATCAGGATTATTTTTCAACCACAATTTCAGAATCACCGGTTCTACGTTTGATGCATATACGCCTAAATGTTCATGTAACTTTCGAGGACACATCCAGACACAATAATACAGTAACTTAATATATGATTTGAAACTGTGAACCCCCATTGTGATCTGTTTCTATTATTTGAAGAACTGAACGAGAAAAACTAACGAAGAAAGATAAACTCACGAATAAAGAATGAATATTAAAGTGCGTCTGCGCCGATAAATCATTTCTGTTTTATGGTCATGTTATAAATGTGTACTGTGGCATTAACAGCGTGAAAGGAATTTAAAAATAAATTTGTCATGAATTGAACAAACTTGTAGTCGACTAGAATCTTAGCTCTCAGCCTCGGAAAGAATTGAAATTATTATACATCTTTTTTTTTCTGATTGTAGTTTGTTCTATTCAAATAAATGCAATTTAAAATTAGCTCTACTTAAAACGTACTTTCAGGACTTTTTACCATCCACCAAATCAGCGATTCTGGTCGAAGACTTTGACACTATTCAAGACTTGGCTGCGTTCATCAAGCAGCTTGATCGGAACGACGAACAGTATGAGTCATACCTCGAATTCAAACACACGGGTATTTCAAATCCAACGCTGAAGTCAGAACTCGCCCGGATATCACCAGGGGAGTACGCAGGTGGACGTTTTGGGAAGGCTGCTTCAGGATATGAGTGTTTCCTCTGTGACAAACTTCACAAGGCACTTGATGCAACTAAAGCCGGGAAGCCTGTCGCGAAAGCACAGGCAAATCTGAACCATTTTGGATGTCCTTTACCTGCACAGAAATTTGACGAAAACGGCCAAATCGTCCCCGACCATCGCCGAAAGCATGAGTTGGCATTCTACCATATGAACGCGCAGGTGTTCCGCCAGTTCTATGACAGGGCTGAGAACATCACGTCTCACGACCTGTACACAGCCACAAAACAACGATTGAGAAAGGTGCAGGCGAAACAGGAAGACTTGTAGAGCAGCTTTTACTAGGATAAAAAGTAACTTATGGAGTTTACTTGAATCTGTATTTTAAAACCCAAAACCCGCCTGCATCCATTAACCAATATATTGTATCTGACGTGATAGATGTTTATTACTTATCCCTTACTTACTATTGCAAACTTTATCCCACAGACATTCATTTTCTGAGTTGTTTGAAAATAAATATGCTTCAGATTTTAGTTGCGATTGTTATTAATTTCAAACCGTGTTTACATGTTCATCAAAAGTTGAAATCTCATGCTTGCATGTTCAACTAAAAGTGGAATCTCATGCTTACATGTTCATCTAAAAGTGGAACCTCATGCTTACAAGTTCATCTCATGTTTACATGTTCATCTAAAAGTGGGATCTCATGTTTACATGTTCATCTAAAAGTGGGATCTCATGTTCACTTGTTCATCTAAAAGTGGAACCTCATGTTTACATGTTCATCTAAAAGTGGGATCTCATGCCTACATGTTCATCTTAAAGTTGGATCTCATGTTTACATGTTCATCTAAAGTTGGGATCTCATGCTTACAAGTTCATCTAAAAGTGGGATCTCATGTTTACATGTTCATCTAAAAGTGGGATCTCATGCCTACATGTTCATCTAAAAGAGTAATCTCATGTTTACATGTTCATCTATAAGTGGGATCTCATGTTTACATGTTCATCTAAAAGTGGGATCTCATGTTTACATGTTCATCTAAAAGTGGAACCTCATGCTAACATGTTCATCTAAAAGTGGGATCTCATGTTTACATGTTCATCTAAAAGTGGGATCTCATGTTTACATGTTCATCTAAAAGTGGGATCTCATGCCTACATGTTCATCTAAAGTTGGGATCTCATGCTTACAAGTTCATCTAAAAATGGGATATCATGCTGACGTGTTTATCTAAAGGTGGGATCTAATGCCTACATATTCATCTAGATGTGTCATCGCATGGTTACATATTGATCTAAATGTGGGATCTCATGGTTACATATTCATCTGAAAGTTGGATCTCATTCTTATTCTCACGAGGGTATTGGACATTTTGTGCAGTTAATGTCGAGGGATCGGGTGGTCAGGCTAGTTGCTTGATGCATATCATCGTATCCCAATGACGTGGGTCGATGCTCATTATGTCAATAACTGGATTGTCTGGTACAGACTCGATTGTTTACAGGCCGCCGTCATATAGTTGGAATATTGCTGAATGCAGCGAATGCAGGGATAATTAAGACAAATGTTTGAATGCTTTTACAATCCTTATTTGGTTGATATAAGAATTCATGTTGCCAACTAAAACAAACAATTAACTTTAGCTAGCTTCTCAGCTGTTTCGTTTCAAGTTTCTTCCAGTCTCACACATATATAAATGAGTGTTCAGTTGTGTTTCTGTAGGGTCATAGGAGATATTGAAGTAGGATATCATTATTCAACACATACAGCATAAATCCATAGTTATATTTATCAGCACGTTTTAAAGCACAGCTGTCCATCGAAGGGTGACCATTCAGCATGACAATGCAACTCAATGAGATGTCAATAGTAACGTCCCCATTGGGTTACATTCTTCACTCACAGACTCAAGTGTAAATTTGTATTTGTAAACGCAGCCTATCGTGAGATAACTACTCATTCAGCCAGCATATACCTACTTATTGAGATGACACTATCTCAATAGATATATGGAAAGGAACACCGTCCTGTAGAAGTAAATAGGGATATTCCTTCATCGCACAGATCCTAACTCGATCAGGGCCATGTATCATTACATCAATAAATCATCAATAAATAGTAAAACACGTAAATGCATACGTTAAATCTCGTGTATTGAATCAGTAATTGCTATCATGCTATATTCAGAGGCTAAACATCAGTAATCATACGAACTGAGGGAAACAAGTATAAGATTACCTGTAGGGTATCGCACGTGCTACATATGCGGGTTTTGTGTTCAAGTAAAACGAAACAAGAGATTATTCTGCATGCAGTGAACATATCTGATACTAACATTACACTCCGTGACTTCGATTAGTGATCTGATGCTTCTGACCACAACAGTATACATGACTTTTAATATTTATTTTTTGTAACTGACGGAGGCCACAGGAATCCTGCTGGTGTAAGACTGGTGTAACACCTAAATGTTTCTCGGGCTTAAGATGTTTACATGACGGTGTGTTGATTTGCCCATTCGGATTACTTTGAAATACTGGTAAGATTGTTATTTACGTTTCAAGAAAGTTATTGTATCTGTGGTATATTTCTTATTTGTAACAGCTATCATATCTCGATCGCCACACCTGCCATATAGCTGCTTGTCCAACTTTTTACTTCTTGTAATGCTATAAACAACATTACATGTATACATGTTCGCACATAGTTGTACAAATACGAATGTGTAAAACATCTTAGGGTATTACATAAATACTGTTAACAATGTGTACTGTGTGTGTATATTGAAATGTGCGATCTCTTTCGACGTTATAAGAATCATCCTTGATTCGATCCAGGAACCTACGTCGTCATCAGATTTGATCGCTTTTGAATCACCACTAGTCGAGATTTCGCAGTTACATCCCTTGTATGTCATGCGGAAGGGACAGGTAGGCACAGGTGTGTACCCCGGAGGGATTTGGTTATTTCAAGGCATCCTGGACATACAATTTAGTCTCACACAGTTCACATGAAGAACTAGTATACCTGTATATTCAGGACATCGACAGCGTCAAACTTATATAAGGTTTGTGTTTCTTAAATTTAAACTTAAAAACACACGAAACATTAAAGGAAGTGAAACCGAAAGTAGGAATTGTTGGCCCCAAGAAAATAAAAAAATGTAAAGTATATTGATTTAAATTTCTTTAATTGTTATGGGTTTTACAAATGTTTGACATTCAGGTAAACGAAGTCATTCGTCGAGGCGTAAAAATGACACAATAAAGACATGTTGACTTGGTCCTGAATACTAACGTTCACAGTTACCTCCCTTGTATTGTACTGTGAGGGGGCGTGTCCATTATCAGTAAAGCAAGGCTTGGTTGGTGTTGACGGAGGTGGATTACAGGTCATCAATACAAGGCCCTATTGGTAGTTGTTTTAAAGTTAGCTTTTAATATGAAAACAAATGAACATTTCAAACAATGACGACAGTTTACCTCCACATCTACACAAGTGAAGCTGACATCAATCCTGATCTCACATGACCACAATATATTCATATATTAAGTTTCGGTTCATCTATTCAAGGTAAATCTTTTATTGTGTTGAAACAACGATCGAGCTTGTTCTTTTGACAGAATTCATAAAAAAAACTATAATGTAGGAACATATTTTATTGAAACAATAGTATAAACAAATACATAGACACACGCTTCTGAAACACCTTGCATGACATGAAGTCACGCTGTGTAGCATCTGTTATTCCTGTAGCACTATGGATTGGTCGATATGGTTACTTTTGTGACAAGAAATGATATGTAAATTACTCATTCGACATGGGTTTACAGAGGCGTTTCAGCATACTTAGTGGTGCACACAAGTTACTGACGGGGTGAATGTGTTTGGTGTAATGCCGCGTTATGCAGTATTTCAGTTATATCATCACGTGTCAGCTTGATATGGAGGGTTAGCCCGAAGTGGCACTCAAGAAATGTTATTGTCTCAAACAAAACACATGCTACTCCATTACAAAGACGGAACAACTTCAACTGAAATTATTTCTTCGAAAAGCGAACAGTTATTTATGTTTTACAGATGGCGACGTCGCGGGCTGAGAAGGTTACAGAATTCCTCACCTGTGTGATCTGCCAGGAACTGTACACAGACCCCTGTACACTAAGGTGTGATCACACATTCTGTAGGAAATGTGTCACTGCATACATCCAAACAAGACCAGATGCTGTACAGTCCAAGACGATCCCATGTGCCTTCTGTCGACAAGATACCAAGGTCCCCCACCCCAGCAGGCCAGTGGAGGAGTGGGCGGGGCAGATCAAACCCAGCACCATTATACAAGGGCTTATTGACACTCAAGCTGACATTGTCAAAACCGGTATTGGTTTATTATATTATAAATTACACATTCATTTCACAAACTGAAATCTATTAATAAGAATCCTGTTTGTAATGAAGGCATATTAAAGGGTACTCGTTATTTGTTTAACCATGCAGTATAATTACAGTATTGCTGTTAACAATATGTTCAATGATACCAATTGACTTCACAAAAATATACATTTGTTACAAACATGACTCCAACTGTAATCACGGCATAGACATATTTACAATATATTTAGACGTCGGGACAATGTGCACTGGCCTGCTGATTATTATCGTTTTACATGATGCTAATATAATCAGATCATCCATAAAGCACTTGAAAATATTATTATAATTAAAATTTTACTCAAGTGGGGAATCAAACCTGGCTATAATCAGATTTTTCAGGTTGATAATAGTGAGTGAGTGAGTGAGTATGTATTTTTGCCGCCTTCAGCAATATTCCAGTGATATCACTGCAGGGGACACAAGAAATGGGCTTCACACATTTTACTCCTGTGGGGAATCAAACCTGGCTAACACCTAAACCACAAGGCTTCCCTACCGCCCGTGATGATAGTGATCAGAACTGTACACTCATAAGTGCAATTGTACCTGTTAAAACTACATGTACATAACTGGGTGAATGAGTTCAGTTTCACGCCACTGCCAATCATGCCAATATGGGGCTTCACACATCAAACACATGGGCGTGACGAGTCAACACTTAAACTCCAAGCCTACACCCACCGCCCTATTCGTGCATTGAAAATAGGTGAGAGGGGGTGATCTTACCTGGATTCTCAATCTTCTAATTTATATTAATATTGTCCTGATATGTCAAATAACTATAGACATGTCCACTAACAGGTTCCGCTTCATGTTGCTCAGTGTGTGAGAAGTTAGGGGAGACAACTCCGGGAGCCTCATGGTGTTCTGAGTGTCAAGTGTCCCTCTGCAAGAGATGTGCCAAGATGCCTGTTGCAAATCCAGCATCACATGACCATGAAATATGTGACCTTTCAGGGGAGGTCAAGGTGAAGAGGAGGCGCAAGGTCGTGTGCAGGGAGCACAAGGATGAGGTTATAAAGCTTGT